AATATTATTAATATATTTATACTTTTAATTATATTAATGATTTCACATTATTATCTAATACCTTTCTTCTTCAGTAAATCCAACTCCGATACGCTCGTAAGGATATTCCTCTGTCTGCAATACAACCTCTTCACTTGAAGCAATAGCAACTTCTTCTGACTTTTCTACAGTCTCTTCATCTGAAATAACAACAATATTATTATTATTGTTATTATTATCATTGCTATTACCTCCGCTACGATAAAAACTGCGCTTCAAATGATTGCGTCGATATCAATATTTATCTATTTTTTTAACAAAGAAACCGTAAACCTCAAATGCAGCTAAATATTTATTCACAAATTAATCGCACATGTGCTTTAATTTTACAATCTAATTAGTTAATTCGAAATGAACAGCACGCACGTAATTTAGATATTTGTTGGATGTCCTCCAGCCCAAATAGCGCTGGATAATAAAACTTTATTAAATTGCTTTAAAGAGGTATGTAGCATACATCAGTGCAATTGATGTATAATTGAGCTAGTGACTTGTAGCTCAGCCGGTGGTTTCTCACCTGCATAAAGCAGGCCGGCTGTTGAGCAGAAGTTTTATGAGCGAATTAGCGATGCATAATATTAGCCGGTGATTTCCTACCTGCATAGCGCAGGCTGGCTGTAACAGGAAAGATTTGTAAAAATGGCAGGATTCTACTGGGGGAGGGCGGACAGGGTGCGTATACACTTGATTTTATGGGGCTGTTGCTGATATCTCAATACTGCCTTACTTTTATTCGTATACTTTGTTATACCGTGGCCGCTTTTGGTTATATTGGTATCACGCCATGTTAATCTTATTAGGCATTTCATTAAACTTACTTAACTTGTATGCACTGGATTTCTTCAACAGCCCATGTGATTATCAATGTGTTGCACCTCACTGCTTGGACTGCCTTTTCGATCTGTTGACCTTACTGTCAACTCGAACGAAATGGACAGCACGCACGTGATTTAGATATTTGTTGGATGCCCTTCAGCCCAAATAGCGCTGGATAATAAAACTTTATTAAATCGCTTTAAAGAGGTATATAGCATACATCAGTGCAATTGATGTATAATTGAGCTAGTGACTTGTAGCTCAGCCGGTGGTTTCCCATCTGCATAAAGCAGGCCAGCTGTTGAGCAGAAGTTTTATGAGCGAATTAGCGATGTATAACATTAGCCGGTGGTTTCCCACCCGCATAGCGCAGGCCGGCTGTAACAGGAAAGATTTGTAAAAATGGCAGGATTCTACTGGTCTTCCAATGATTTTGAATACTGCCATTATCGTATTTATTATTATTATTATTTATGTGTATTGTTATTCTTTCTTGAATGATTGTTTGTAGCCTATTCATTTGTTCTCGGCTTTCGTTGCTAGTTGTGTCATCATTGTTGTAACTATCTGTGTACTTAGACACCCCTTTTTTTTTTTTTTTTTTTTTTTAACATCCCAATCTATATAACGATTGGTTCCAAAAGGAAAGAACTTGTTCACGATCGTTATTCAGAATATGCCTTATTTAGTATCGCCACTACTGTTGCTGGATGTGTTCGAATGTATCTATAAAATGCGTCTGACGACCATCTACCAATTTTTTGAATGAGTGTTAGTTGTATACCACGTAAGACGAGTTCTGTTGTCCCCCCTGCTCAGAAGCTATGCCCTGCTATATTTGTGTTTGGCAGGAGGGAATTGAGCTTATTTATAAACTACTGTTTCATCGCTAGGCACCCATTTGCTTTTATAAACAATATTTTGCTCCCTGGAGCATACCCAGGGTCAGTTCTGCGAATGATGTATGCTTTGAGCACATGAATTGGACATGTTTCATCTTTGGTTGAATTGATAATCAGAGTTGGATGTTCAGATGTGTTGTAACATTTGGTTCTTGGTAACTGTATAGTTGCAAAAGAGCCTCTTCCTGTTCTATCGAACCTTAAGGCTTGCATCGTCGGCATTTTTGTTGTATCGTATGAGCCAGGCAGTAGCTCACCCAGCCGTGCCAGCCCATAAAATGCTACTAAAGCTACTACAAAGAATAGTAAATCATCAGTGGCCGTCAGATTTAGTCCTGATTTGATTTTGTATAATTGGTCTCTTGTTATATGTTCTTTTTGCCATGTTGGCTTAAAAATATGATTGCCTTCCATGGTTTTTAACAGTTGCTTTATTAGGGGATCATAGCGTGTCTTGCTCTATTCTAAGTGATTTATATTATGATGATGTCTCAGTGCAGATAAATAGGATATGATAGTTTGTGGTTCAACTTTAGGGTATAGGTGCGTAATAAATCTTGTGAAGTTTTCTTTTGATATTGGCCAAATAGTTTTGTCAGGGTTTACCTATTCATTCTCTTTAGCTAGTTTCTGATAGTGTTTTATTATACTGTTATATGTTTTGTACCCAGTTGGTTGAACTCCGAGGATTGTGGCTGCTTGTATGTTTAGAGGCGGCTCAGTTGATTGTGATTGTGGTCTTGTAGCCACCATGTGTCTGTTACTTCCTATTGTGTTAAAGATGGGATTGGTGATATTAAGTTAGTATACTCACTTGAGATAGCAGGCTTCAAGTATCGAGCTAATGGATTCTGTCTCATATATTCTCTGTGACTATTATGTAACAGCAAATCTGCCTCTATATTATTTTTTCCAGGTATGTATTCTAATTTGATAAAAAAATTGCCCCGGATCTGGGCTCTGTACATGTGTGCTATTATGTCATTGATTGCTGTATTTTTACAAAAGCTGGCGTAGAAGGCTTCGGCATTGGCTTGGTTGTCTGTCCACATTATTAGTCGCTTCTGATTCCATAATGGTGCAAATGTAAGTATGGCTATTAGGCTTGTCAGAAGTTCGCGCATTTGAATGGTATTAGTTGTTTGGTCTATTGGCATACTCCAGTTAAAGGCTATAAAGTATACTTCATACGTTGCTCCTCCCCCCAGATTGGATGCATCTGTAAACAAGTTTTTTGTTTCAGGTTGTAACCATATTCTGTCCTCTAAAAAGTATACTCCTGACCATTCTGGGAGAGTCTTAGACCACTATTGTAAGTCAGCTTTCATTGAATTTGTTACTTTAATATAGAATTTTGATTTGTTAGTTCTACTTAGAGCTTTAATAAACTGCTGAATAAACGGTCTGCCCTGAGGTATGGTTTGGTATAGCCACATCAGTGAGCCGACTAGTAATTGTAGCTCTTTTTTATAGCACCATTTTTTATTGCTTCATTGTGTTATAAGGTCTAAGATTTTTATCTTTTTTGCTGCTGGAATTGATGCTGAAAATGAAACAGTATCAATATGGATACCTAGAAAAGTAAGTGCTGTATATGGACCTTCTAGTTTTGATGGTTTATAAAGGATATTCATTATTTCTAATATGCGTAAAAATTGTTGCAATTCTTGCTTGGCGGTTGTATCAGAAATAATTAGAAAATCATCTACATAATGTTTTATGGACTTGATACCCTGCTGTACAGCGACTCGTGTGATTGCATTTGCAAATCTGCAGAATATGCCGCCGGATGCTCTATTACCAAATGCCAGGGCTTTGTCAAAGTATATTTTGTTATTATGACGCAAACCTTGAAGAACTTGATCGACAGGATGTACTGGAAGAATACAGTATGCATCTTTAATGTCGATTTTTGATAACAAGCATCCTTTCCAATATTGGATGATCCAGTTGACAGCGTGATTTATATTCTCATATTTTGTAGCAAATTCTGTAACATTAATACCATCATTTATGCTTGTGCCTGTAGGTGCTGACAGGTGTGAAATCACTCTGTATACTCTGAGATTAGTATCTTTCTTTTCTACTAACCCGCAGGGATTTATTTGAAATGCTGAACAAAGAGGGTTTTCTAATGTAAACGGACCACACATATGTCCTACACTTAATTCATCTTCTATATATTTTGTTAGTGCAGCTGGTTCTATATTAACTGACTTCAGGTTTTCTTGTACTGTAATTATACGCTTTCCTGCAAAATTGAATCTAAATCCATGCTTCAGACCATTTTTCAAGTACTAAATAAATCGTTGATTCGGGTGTTTCTGTGTTAAGTAGTCAAATGCTACCTTGTTAATAGGAGTTGTTATATTAAAATACTTCGGGTTTAGTTGTGTCATTATTTTCAACTCTTCAGTTGAGAGTATGTTACACCTTGGAGGAATCGCCTTAATCGTTTGCTCTACTGATTGTAAATAAGGTCTGGAATAAGAGGTAATCGCTCTTGATAATTTGAATCGTGATGTATACTTCAAATTTTTAGATGGGTTGTGTGTCGTTGCTTGCAAGATTCCTGGTTCTCTTCTGATTTCTGGGCTATCTTGGTTATGATTCTCTACTGTGGACTGAGTAATGTTGTTGTTTTGAATTTCATTGTTGATTTCACTCTGCAGGTTTGTCTGTTCTAATTGAACAAAATGCTGGCTAATTGTATTCATAACTTGTGCATTCCATTCTCTCTGAGTTTCAAACTGCTAGTCCATGTATCGTTGCATGGTCTGCATCATCGCTGCTGTTGTTGTTTGAATTACTGTGTCTACGTATGTTTTTATTTGTGAGTCAATATTCACATCATAGCTTTGGGCCTCTTGACTTTGAGTGCTGAACGTAGCTATCATTTCAACTGACTCATTAGATATTGTGCTCTTATTTCTGTTGATTGTTAGGTTACATGCATTTCTTCTACTCATTATTACGAATGCTTATCTCTCTTCTTTTTTTTTTTTTTTTTTCACACATACACTTGATTTTACGAGGCTGTTGCTGATATCTCAATACTGCCTTACTTTTATTCGTATGCTTTGTTATACTGTGGCCGCTTTTGGTTATATTGGTATCGCACCTTGTTGATCTTATTAGGCATTTCATTAAACTTACTTAACTCGTATGCACTGGATTTCTTCAACAGCCCATGTGATTATCAACATGTTGCGCCTTACTGCTTGGACTGCTTTTTCGATCTGTTGACCTTACTGTCAACTCGAATTAAACAAAGCATTGCTAAAAAGGGTAAAAAATCTGATTTTCATTAACCCCCCTGTAGTACAGTGAATTAGAATGCTTATAACCATTGTAGGGTTGTGAGTTCGACTCCATCAGTAGGTTGTCTTACCCAGTGCACTGAGGTGACATTACTGACTACAGTATGAACGTTCAACATTTTATTATTATTTATAAAAAAAAAAAAATAAATAAATAAAAAATTCTCTTTAATTTTATTTATACACTTTTTACTATAAAAATACTATCTCCGTTAATTTTATATCTCTTTATTTTTTCTCTTTCTATTCTTATTTAATTTTATTGTTTTTTATTTTTATTTTTCTCTTTTCTTATATTTCATTAAACTTAAACACTTTTATTAATCTGGGCCTCCTCTTTCCCACTTCTAAAACTAATAGTAGCTAGTTTTAAATTAGTTTATAAATAGAAAATTAAGAGGTGTTTTGCTACACCTAGATGGTTATACAAGAAATAGTAGATAATTTTTTTTAATATATCATCCTGATATAAACTTGTAATTATCTCTTCTTGTATATAGCAAATTCAATAATAATAAAAAAAAATAAAATAAATTTTTTTTTAAATATTAATTATTAATATAAAATATATTTTAATAAATTTAATTTTTATAAGGAATTGCTATTTGCACTATAATTTTGGCTATTTACACTATTAATTTAACTGAAACTAACCCTAACTTTGGTCAAATTAATGGTGCAAATAGTAAAAACTATGGTGCAAATAGCAGTACCTTTTTTATATTTATATAAAAAATTTTAAGTTATCTATAAACTAAAAAATTTAAAAATTTAAAAAATTTTTAATTTTTAAAAACTTTATTTGACTATTAACAAATATTTTAAAATTCTAAGAATATATACTCTATAAGTTTGATATAAATTGTAGATTAAGGGTTTGGGTTCTGTAGCTTATTGGTTAAGCTTCCAAATCTCCACAGACAAGGTCAACAGTTCAAGTCGGGCTGGTAGCAAATTTTCGAATTTGTTACTATAACCATATAGAGCCAAATCGGATGTGAAGTCTTGTGGAAAGTCCAAGTGCAGTACTAGATCAGAATAAGGAGTTCTCGGAAGGAGACCTGGTTGCAAAATGTGGGTACTACGTATGACAGCGGCATCACAGAAGATCTAGGTTGTAGAAGATTGCACATATAAGTCCTCAGTTAGGATAACTAAGAGGCAACACCAACATTCTATCACCTCTATATTTGGCATTACCAACATCTCTGCACCCAACTTGTGGGGTATTTGCTTGGAAGAATGATTAACAGATCGTGCGAATTAGTCCTAATATGGTATAGCATTAGATATTTGCTTAGAAAAGTAATTTAATACTACCAAAACTGAAGTAGTGAGTGAAGCGGAGATATACAACTATAGGCTGTGATAAAGGATCAAACCTTAATTGGAATTGGAAGCACCTCTGGTATCGGTGGAACAACTATAGAAGGCTATTCGGCGTAGAAAATATAACCTACCTCTGTATATCTAAACGCACCAAATCGGAGCTCTGGTCACACCTATATGAAAGTTTATAACAAAAAAAGCTAGGATATACCAGCACAAATGCCACACTAACTAGAAATAGCTGGAAGTGATTTAGCTTGCCACTTAAGTAGTTTTGTGATGTTAGGCTGGTCTTTAACAAAATAGGTCATTAAAGCAAAATTACAAAAGCTAATGGCTGAAAGTGTGTAGCCTTGCAGTTGCTGTGCAACTTCAGGGGATCCTCACGAATCATAGTCCTAGCAAACACCATATAAGGGAGTATATAAGGGGATAGAAGTTGTACAACTGCAATATACAACTTAGAAAACGTCAAAAGACCTGGGGATAGCAAACTGTCAGTGGCAGCAGAGGTCTGGCTTGAGATACGAGGTCAGTTTACCTGGGGAAGTAAGTAGAAGGATCTGTGGCATTTATGCAATATACTGTTGTATGAAGTGATACAAGCCGACAATGGATGGTGCAAACACAAGATAAGTCTAAAGACCCAAAATGTGATACCAATGCTTCTTATGTAGGACTGGTGGCGGCAGCAAGCATTTGGCTTAAGATACGTATATGAGAGGCCACCTATAAGAAAGGTTATCTACTAGTACTAGTACATACTGAATAACAGACACACCAAATTGGGAGGCCGTAAAAGGACCGATTTCCCGAAAAAACCAATTTGAGAGTAATCAAGGTTTGATGATAAGACATAAGAGAAATATGATGAGTAACTAGAAATAGTCTGAACACCAAATTCAGGTATAACCCAATACGTGACGGGAATGTAGCATACTCTGGTAGGTTTAGATCATGGATAATTGTCCAAAGCTTATATTCTTAGATAGATATGTAGCCATATAAGGCAAATACTCCAATCAAATATCTAATAAAGATACGAGGCAATGACCTCACCTTAACATCGAAAAAAAAAAAAAAAAATTATAGATTAAGTTATCATAAACATCTTTTATTATAAAAGTTTTTATAATTTTATAATTAAAATTTTAACTTTAATTAATAGAAAAAAGTTTTTTTTTGAATTGCCTATATTTAGACAAATTTTCTTTTATTTATAAATATATATAATTAAAATTTTAATAGATATTAATTAACAATATGTCAAGAAGGCCAAACAACTCTTTTCACTAATCCTCTATATACAAATTTATATAAACAAAAAAATAAGAAACTAGACTTGGAGCTTTAAAGAAAAAGGAAGAAGATAGTAGAAAACACTTAATTTCTTAAGAGACTTATATTAAAGAAGTAAGGATATAGAAGAAATTGTGCAAAATTACTGGACTTTGTGAATTTTTAGAGAATCAGCCTTAACCCTGTAATGCAGTTCTGTTTTAATAACACAAGAAACATAACATATAATGAAGAATAAACAAAAAAAAATACACCAAAAATCACATGACAAATATAAACAAAGGTGGTAAACAACCTCAATAAACAACAACAAAAAACAACAAAAAAACAACAAGTCACATAACGCAAAAATTAATAGAATGTTCTGTAAGAATGATTACTGTATTAAAAGAATTTGAAGCACAAGTAGAAGCACTTGACGAAAATAAAGATATTCTAATAGATCTGATATTAGCAAAATATGCTGAGAAAACTTATAATATAAGAAGATAATAAAGCACAAATAGCGGAACTTGCCGAAGAATTATAGAAATATAATTCAGGTAAACTTAATTATACAGAACTTGTATTTAGAAAAAGAAACAACTATGATTACTACACTACACTACAAAAAGAAGAGGATCCAATTAGATACATCATATATGAAAAATGAACAAAATTCTAGCTAACTTAGAAATAGCTAATAGGATAAGATAGATAATAGAGTTTAAAGAAAAACAAGCTGCTAAAATAGAGTTGATAAAGTTAAAAGTAGATTTAGATTAGAAAAAAAAACTTCAAAAACAAAAGAAAAATTAATAAAAACAGTACAATAAATTAGCCCTGAAGACAATAATACAACAATTTAAAAAATCTATCAAAACCTTCGCAGCAAACCAATATAAGATTAAAAAAAAAATCAAGAAAAAAAAAAAAAAGATACAAGTTCGACTAAGGAAAAAACAAGCTGCTGAAATAAAGATGAAATTAGAATTAGATTGAAACAAAAGACTTCAAGAACAAAGAAAAATTTAACAAAAGCAGCATAACAAAATAATATTGAAAGCATTAGTTAAAAAATTTAAAGAATTC